AGACCTATATCATCTTCAACTCCACATCCGCGCGCGCTGCGACCTGCCCACTCCGCCCCGGTATGTCGACGCCTCGAGCACGGCGGCATTGGGGGGCGGAGACGGCGTGGGCGCAGACCTCGCTACCTTCATCCAACAAAGCGAGAGACAGGCGGCGGCGCAAGCAGACGCAGTCGCAGACGCACGAGCTCAGAAGGCAAGAGGAGGTGTGGCAGAGGCAGCGGGCAAGGCGCAATGTACTCCGATGCAGGTCGAGGTCGCATTCAAAGGAAAAGACGCCGCTCAGGCGCTGACCCTCCTCCCAAAGGGTTTCCGCGTGCACTCTCAGCTCTTGAGGGGCCGGGCCGCGCCGGAGTGGATGGGCGTCCTGCCCCCCGCCCTGGCGCCGATTATCGCGGCTCCCAGGGGCGCTGGGGAGCTCTGCGCAGATGCTGCTGGCAGGGTGTCGCTCGAGGAGAAGGTGGGCCCACCGCACTCGCGCGCAGCGCGTGCCGGGTCCACGCGTCTCGCGGAGGCCATATGGAGCTTGAAGTTGGGGGGGGGCTTTAGAGGTGGTCAGATCGTTCTGCATCAAGTTCGCACAGCTTGAACAGACCTCGGAGAAAGGCATGTTGATCCGGCACTTCCGCTGCGAGGAGTGCTACAACGAACAGCGCGCGAGGGCCCGGCTCGCCCTGGCAGACGGAGCCAGCCGTGCCAGAGATTCGGCGGAGACGGTGACCTCCTCATAGTCAATGCTCGAGCAGGCCACGGTGGAGCTCCGCGCGGAGATGGGCGTCGCCCCGAAGCTGGGCTCGGCCCCGCCAGGGCCATCAGGATGGGGCTTTCTCAGAAGATGCCGGACAAGCAGAAGAGGGGCGGAGGCAAGGGTCGGGATCGAGGTCGGTAGCCCCCTCTACTTGGATTTCGCGCACAGAGACCATGAGGGCTCGCATCGCCGAGAAGGAGAGGCTAAATTCTAGTCGCTGACTTGGTTCGTGTCGCCATGTTCTCTCTTTGCTGGGCGATGAGCTCTCGAATCCTTGCGTGGCCGAGGTTCGTGTCGCCATGTCTGTTGCTTTGGGCGATGAGCTCTCAAATCCCAGTCGCGGACTAGATTCGGTCGCCATGTCTTTGCTACGGGCGCGGCCTGCACCTGCGGGCGGCTGGGAGACATGAGAAATTGGTCCAATGCTTTTGCCCCAAGCAAGAGTGGTCCCGATGGCTCTGTCCCTGCGTTGACCTGCGATGTTACTATCGTGGATGTTTTTTCGCTACCGTATTTCATTTCCTTCACAGTTTAGCAGTTTCAGTGCTCGAATGTCCAGCTGACCTCCACCGCTGCGGAGTCCACCGACTCAGAGCGCACCCCCCGCTCGGCGTCCTCCCTGCCGCCGTGGGCATGGTGATGGTCATCCCTGTGGGCACGAAGGTGCTACACGTATCTCTCGGGCCTCTCGGCCCCCCGCCCTGCTCCTCCGTCGAGGCGGGTCCACCTCGTCAGTCCTTTTCCGCCCCTCCCTCCTCCTCGTCCTCCTCCTCCTTTCGACCGAGACCCTCCCGTCCTCTCGTTCAGTTCCCTGCCAATCGGGCGCCTTCGGGGCACGCCGAGGGCGCTCTTAAGGGGGTGCCTCGGTCGGGGTAGAGACGGATTGAGTACAGCAACCTCTGTGATCTTTTGTTGGGTCGGGCGGATGCTTCGGAAACCTGCCTGGCACACGCAGTGCCATCGGGCGTCGGCCTCCAGGGGGCCAGAGGGGTGCCCCCTCCAGCTCGCGAGCGACATATTATTGCGAGCAGCCGAGTCGATTCTCGACGACTGCTGCACGGCGCGCGTTACCCTGAACCTCGTACACCAGATGTACGGTTGTTTGAGGTAGAGTAGTTGCACGTGTGTCACACCGTGTCAGCTCCAACATCCCAACACACGCGCAAGGCCGAGTCCTATCCTATAGTATCCTATCCTATCCTATCTAATCTTCCTCCTCCTCCTCCTCCTCCTCCTCCTCCTCCTCCTCCTCTTCCTGGGAGACGCTGAGACGCTGACGGCAGTGGGGCTCTCCGAACGTTGTCAAGGGTCCTGGCTTGCGTGTGCCGAGTGGCACTGCAGGCGGGACCATTCCGAAAATGGGCCGATCTCCAGTGTGGGGGCCGGCGAGGGACAGAGGGGGAGGGACGGACGGGGGCCCGAAAGGAAAAGGCGAGGGGGGCACGAACGGGCGACCGAACGCAGGAGGGAAAGAAACGAAGAGAGAGAGGATTGCGGGTCGGCGGTAGCGGCGCGCACCTCGTCCATCCCAAACTGCAACTAACGAAATCCCCGCCCTCCTCCTCAGGCCCCCCAAGGCCGTCCCCAGGTCGCTGCTCGTGCGGTCCAGGGTGTTTGCGAAGTATTAGTTGACGAACTGACCTGTGAACACGGTGCGGCCCAGCATGTCCCTGGGCGACGCGATTGTGCTTGTCTGCGTCTCACGGGGTGGGCGTCGATGTGTCGTTGCGTTGTCACCCAGGCCATTCACCCCGTCGCTGTGTACGTAATGCTGCTGCTGGTCGCTTGGTGGGGCAAGGGCGCCGCGTGGCATGCCGCGCAGCCCCTGACGCTCGTCACTGTGTGGACGGCCTCGCCTTTGCCTCGGGGCGCCGTGAGCCGCGCGGCCCAAGGACAGGTGGGGTGTGCCAGTGTTGGTTGCTTGTAGTGGCCAGGCCATTCACCGCGCTGTGTATTGGTCCCCGCCTTGGTGGCAGTGCTGCCGGTTGTGTCGTGGCACTGCCGCCGTTCGGAGTCGCAGAACACGCGGTGCTGCTGCTGGTCGCTGCAACCAAAACCGCTGGGTCGGGGCTCCCCGTGGTGGTGTCTGGGGAGGCTTGGGCGGGCGGCAACGGGTGGGCAATGAACGCGGGGAGATTGAGGATTGCAGGAAAGTTGGCCCAAACGGCCCCAAGCTGTCACCGCGGGCCCAAAAGGTGCACGAGCGCTTCTCCCCCCCCATTCACGAACACCCGAGAGCGCAACCAACTGAGTTTCTTGTCACAGACCCGGCGAGCGCGCGGGTCGGTCAAGCGGCCCAGGGGCGCTCGACAACGAATTAAGCCTTGCAAGAGGCGGGGGCAAGAAGAGCAGGGCGGTCTCGGAGGGGAGGAGCGGGCGGGGGGAGCAAGCTCAGACCGTGAAGGCTTTCGTCAGCAGGCTGCGGCCCAGGCTCGAACGAGTCGCAGAAAGGGGGATGCCACGTTTACGGCCCCCGCGTGAGCGAACACCCGAGAGGTGCAACCAGGTTACGCGCCGGGGTAATTCCAGAAGGGGTCGGCGGATTCCTCTGCTGCCGAGGGCAGGGGCGCAAATCGTGACCGCGCAGCCTGTCGCGCAGCCTGCGGCGGGGGCCCACGGCGCAGCCCTTGGCGCAGCTGTGGCGCGACCTGCGGGGCAACCCTTTCGATCGAGATGGCAGTCAAGCCGACACGGGTGCTGTTGTTCGCTTTTTGTGCGAAGCGCAGGCAGCTTCGGGGGCTCGTCTGCCCGAGTGGCACCAGGCAGAAACGTCGGCTGACAGTCGCTCGCGTGTGCTGCACGGGCACTATGCGGTCAGTGCCGCCGACCCTGAAGGGGAAAGATGACGAGGACGGCGGCAGCGGCGGCGGCGGCGACGACGACGACGCTGACGCTCTGGAGCCCTTGATGGGCTCTCTGGGAAGCATGTTGGGCTCTGGTGGGGCTTGGGCTGGGGCCAGGGCCGGAGCCTGCGTTGGGAGCTAGGGCCGGGGGCCGGCGGCGGGGCCGGGGCCGGGGTTGGGAGCGGGGCGGGGGCCAGCCGGGGCCGGGGCCGAGGCCGGGGCCGAGGCCGAGGCCGGGGCCGGGGCCGGGGCCGGGGCCAGAGCCGGGGCCGAGGCCGGGGGAGAGGTCCTGAGCTCCCTTGCCGACAGGGAGACCACTTCTGATGTTCCACGACCAACCCCACGTGCCCACCCTCGGGGCGCCCCCCACCCGGCAGGGAAGGGGTCAAAGGGCAGGGCTTCCCTTCGAATCAAATTCGACGACGACGACGACGACGAGGACGAGGAGGAGGAGGACGAGGAGGAGGAGGAGGAGGAGGAGGAGGAGGAGGAGGAGGACGACTCAAACGGAAAAGCCTCTGACACGCCGACAGGGTCGGCGGATTCCTATTCGTCACTCCCTCCTCCCTCCCTCGCCCCCTCCCTGCGCGGAAAGCAGGTGTCAGCAGAAGTCACGAGGGCAAATGGCACACGCACTAGCCCCAGCCCAGCCGAGCGCCACGCTCTCAGGCCTGCGGTCCGGGTCACTCTTCGTCGCTGCGCGATTGGGCCATTCCATTCCGCTCCACTCCCTCTGCCCACTCCGTTCCACCCCGAGCCATCCATGCCGCAGCGTGGGGGTGGCCGTGGAAGGCAGTTCTACATGGCAGGCGGGCGCGCAGGGCAGGCGCGCCCACCCCGCTCCGCGCTCTGCGGTGGAAGGGGTCGGCCTGACGCTCTCCCCTGTGCCGCCGTGGCTGCCGTGGTTGTCGCCGATGCCTGCCCTCGTGGTTGCCCGCCGGCGCGCGGCATTCTCAGCCGCGGTGCGCCCGGGCCGATGCTGCCTCCTGGGACGTGCTTGCTCGCCTTCCCGAAACCAGCGACTTTTCTTTTCAGGTTAGCCAGCACGCTTGCGGTTGGCCCCTGTCCCGCCAAAGCACTTGCGCTGGCTTTCTGAGAGCGCTCCGCGGCGCGCACGAGCGGCCCGTCGCCCTCGCTTCGTCGACAGAACGAGCGGTAGCTGCGTGCGACAGCGTCCCATTGCGAGAGTTGCCCTGCGCCGTCGTGAGTGGCCCAGGTCAACTGCGGGAGCGCGCAGACAATCGCGCTTCGCGCGTCGCGGTGCGGCAAAGGTGCCCTCCTCAGGGCGGCGGCGCGAGGTCGCGAAGATCACCGCGCGTCGCGCACCGCGGGGCGCGATGCGCGAAGTTGGGCGACCAAGGCCTGACCTCGTCCTCGCCTTTCTCCTCGTCCTCGTCCTCGGCGCCCAGGGCGGCTGCGACGACGACGCCCCGCTCCAGTCGACCCTCACGTACGACCCCTTCGCGGCCTTCTCGCCCACGGCGGCCGGCGGTGACCCGTTGGCGCCTCCACCCGCGCGCCCACGCGTGTTCGGCCGGGGCGGGCGGGAGGGAAGCCCGGCAGAGAGGTTTCAGTCGCGCGTGGTTTCCCCTGCGCCGGTTTTTCCCAAAACAGTGCTTGCATCCAGGGATCTGGGGTCTCTCACTTCTCTTGTAGCAGAGGCACTGGGTGGGTCCAGGGAGTCTCTGCCACGTTGCCGCCCGTGGCCTCCTCGTGGCCGCTTCGTGCGCTGGGTGGTTCCGGCGAGGTTCCGCCACACGCTGCGGCCCATGGCCGCCTCGTGGCCGCCTCGTGCGTCGAGTCCAGCGGGGTTTCGCCACGTTGCCGCCCGTTGCCGTCTCGTTTCCGCCTCGTGCGCTGGGTGGGTTGGGAGAGGTTTTGACACGTTGCCGCCCGTGGCCGTCTCGTGGCCGCCTCCAGCTTGCAGCTTGCACCACGCAAGCTGTACCACACAGGTTGCACGACATAGCTTGCGTCGCATGGCATAGCTTGCACATCCACGGTGCGATAGCTTCCTGTTTGGGGTCCACGCTGGCTAACATTTTGATCACGACGAGAGGGTGTAGCGCCCACCCGCAGGGCATGCCCCCCATGGGCACCTCGTCCAGCTCTCACGACGCCGTGATGTGGAACCCCTTCGGCATGGCGCCGTACCCGGGCTACGGGTCGCCGCCGTGGGCGCGCGGGCCTCCCCGCAAACGACGACGACCACGGCGACGGCGACCACAACGACCACGACTCAGAAGAGGGCCAATTCAAGAGGCAACGACAGTTGGCCTTCGTCGGGGCCCCATCGTCGCCACGGCTGGACGCAGCTCGGAAAACTGAAGCGGTTGGTTGGACCCCAGGAGGGGCCCGGGAACCGGTTTTGAGTTGCCGTTGTCTCAATATGCCTTGCTCCGAGCGACGGGACAAGAGTCCGAGCCCCGAGTCGGGGCCCGCGGCGCCACGGCGGGCGTGCGCGGGGGGGGGGGGAGGGGGATTGGTCGACCCAGCAGCCGAAGCAACACCGAGGATTTCACGCCCTACTACAAGTCCCGAGCTGATGTGCCCAGTAGGCGTCCCTCCCCTACTCGGCCGTTCTTTCGGCCGATGGGGGGCCAGGAAGGACCAGTGCAGCAGAGCCTTGCACACAAAGATGAGGTACATTGAGCCAACGTGTTGCATTATTCATTGGCTTACGCCACACCGCCGACCCCTTGGGGCGGCAGCAATCGCCCCCCGCATGGCCTGTCCGGACAGCCTGTGAGGCCCCTCTAGACACGTTTTGGAGCCCTCTTGGGCGCGTCCTGCCGTTCCCCCGGGCCGTTGCTATGGTTTCTGGGGCCTTCGTGGGGCGCCCGGAGGCCGTCGTGGAGCCTCTTGGGCTGGCGAGGGTCGATCTTGGAGGTTTATTGGGCCGTTGTAGGCCTCGTGGAAGCCCAAGAAGCGAATATGCTGAAAATGTACGCTGTCCCTAGGGAATGGGACGGCTTTTGCTTCTGGAGGCTTGCTTGGGGCGCCTCGTGGTCGCGTATGCAAACGTCTTGGACGCCCATGGGGCTGTCTGGATGCAATCGTGGGCGGTTTGGACCGAATCGTCCCCCACGTGGGCTGTCCGGACAGCCTTTGGGAGCCCTCTTGGCTCGTTTTGGAGCCCTCTGGGGATCGTCCTGGGGCTTTCCTGGGCCGTTGCTATGGTTTCTGGAGCCTTCGTGGATCGCCCAGAAGCCGTCTTGGAGCCTTCTTGGGAGCTTCTTCGGGTGACAGGGGTCGATCTTGGAGTTTTATTGGGCCGCTGTGGGCCTCGTGAAAGCCCATGAAGCGAATGTGCTGAACATGTACGTTTTACCCAGGGAATGGGACGGCTTTTGCTTGTGGAGACCTGCTTGGAGCGCCTCGTGGCCGCGTTTTCAAACGTCTTGGACATCCATGGGGCCGTCTGGCGGCGATCTTTGGCGGTTCGGACCGAATCGTCCACCGCGTGGGCCGTCCGGACAGCCTTTTGGAGCCCTCTTGCCCCGTTTTGGAGCCCTCTTGGGACCGTCCTGCGGCTTTCCGAAGCTGTTGCTACGGTTTCTGGGGCCTTCGTGGATCGCCCGGACGCCGTCTTGGAGCCTTTTTGGGAGCCTCTTGGGCTGGCGAGGGTCGATCTTGGAGGTTTTTGGGGCCGTTTTGCGCCACGTGGGAGCCGAATGGGCGAACATGGTGAAAGTGTACGTTTTCCCTTGGGAATGGGACGATTTTTGCTTCTGGAGGGCCTCTTTGGGGCGCCTCATAATATCGTTTCAAACGTCTTGGGGACTTGTAGAGCCGTGTGGAGGCAATCTTCGGCGTTTTGTGGCGGTCTTTCGTCGATTCGTAGCTCTCTTGGACCGTTCCGGGAACCTTTGAAACCTTTTTGGCCCGTTTTGGGGCCTCCTGAGGCTCCAAGAGTGCGGATGATGGATTTGCCCCCCCCCCCCCCCCTCCAAAACGGCCAGACCAGGCCCCCGGGGGAGGGGTTTGGGGAGGGGGAAGCATCTCACACGCCGTGACATGGGGTCGGCGGATCCGCCTAGTGGTTGCCTTTGGCATAGAATGACTCCTCATTGTGCGGGCTTACGCTTGACGCATCTACGTGGGTTTTCATTGAAATAACGGGCAGCAGATCACGCGATCTCGGCAGAGATCCTACCCCGAAGAGATTCACACCGGCATAGTAGGTTCTCCGATCATAGATGGCCTCAAGAGGCTTCTAAGTGACGCCAGCCAGCCCTTCAAAATCAGTGCATACCTCCCTCGAGAACGCAACCACGAAACCAACATGCTCCTCAGCAGGGCTTGCCAGAGATAAGAGTCTACCGACCTTCCCAGAGATCGCGGCGTACATTTCCCAATGGCTCGTGAGGCAAATGCAGACCCAACCAGCTCGGTGATGAGCCTTGTGCCCATCCTGAAAGCAGGACCCGTCAGAATTGATCCTCTTTCTTCTGAAACTTCCAAAACGGGAGTATTCGGGTCCTAGCAATAATAGTCAAACACCTCATGCCCACAACCTTCAGGGGGGCAGAAAGTACGAGCATGTTCCATTTGTAATCCGAGTATCAACGGACACTTGCTTGCGCTCTGCATGCATAATCGTGTCTTCCACAAGTTCAGAGAACTCATTCGGATGAAATTTCGTAGCAGGGCAGACGACCAGGCAATGGTGCAGAGGGTGGGGGGAGGAGTGGGGTGGCCTGCCCTTCCTTTCCCCTCCGCTCCGCCCCGTGCCCCCCACGGGAAGGCGGGGGGTGGGAAAGGCAGGGTGGGGAAGGGAGGACGGGAGGGCGGAGAGGGGAGGGGCAAGGGGGAGAGCTGGGGTGGCCCCACCTCTCCTCCTCTCTGGCTTTTGGGTCACAGCTCGGGTCTCTGGCGGGCATTCGGGACGAGTCGGGCACCCCGTGAACGCTCTCGGCGAGGCGCAGTTGCTGGAACGCATCCCGAGGCAGGAAAACCTTCGGCAATCTCCAGCGTTCCGCCAGACCCCCGTTGGACGACGCCACCCGCGCACCAGACCAGCTCGATGCACGCTTCCGCGAGTGCTGGCACGCGACGAGCCCGTCGAGCGAGCCGCCCTGCACCCCCCCCCCAACGGGCCAGGACTACGGCATGTCCTTGGGCGAGGAGGCCTACAGCGCGCCTAGAGTGGGGCGGGGTAGCAGCGGGCGGATCGACCACGCTCGACTAGACGTAAGAGTGACCTGTCGCCGGAGTGGCCTTTGGTGCGGGTCCAATGGCGTCCCCCGATCGCTGAGCGCGAAGCGGTCGCAGCGGCTTGCACGCCCAGGTTTGGGCATCCCGCGTCCCCCGTGCGCACCAAAGGTCATTCTTACCCAGGATCACTCTCACGCGTAGCCGACACGTGCGCGACTTTCGTGCCCGCGTCTCGAGGAGGAGGAGGAGGAGGAGGGCCAAATCGCATTATGTTTTTTGTTATTTCGTTTCATGTGTCGGCCATTGCGCTTGAGTCGGTTCACCGCATTTTGATTTTTCACGAGAGCGCATCAGCCACACCGCTAATGTTTGCCTAACGTAAAGAGGAGGGCCAGAGCAAACCCAAGATGCATCAGTGATACTGCGACGCACCTGCCCGTCCCAAATCCTCTCCCCACAAGTCCCTAAAACGCCCCCTTCGAAAACCACCACCCCATGGGCCTGCCATGCAGGCGAGGAACTGCTTTGCATCCTTCTATCGCGTCATCTGGAATGTGGCACGCTATGGTCATACGGTTAAGCGAGGCATCCAGCGAGATCTTTGTTTTGAAAAAGACCGACTCATTAGATGTTGTGCTGCACAAGCTAACACTTCCGGTCATGAGCATCGAGGAAGTCTACACGAGAGCCCCAGGTTGAAGGAGCCCCCTCCGTCCGTGCAGCTGCTACATATTGCGAAGGCCTTGCGGCCGATGCCGCCGACCCTGAAAGGGGACGATGAACGACGACGACGACGACGACCACGGCGACGGCGACGACGATCGCGAGTCCTTGTTGGGGCCTTTCCAGGCTCTCTTGGGCTGTCCTGGGGGGCCTTTGGGCCGTCTTGGGGCCTTCCCGGGCCATCCTGGCGTGTACTTGGGCCGTTCTCGGGAGCTTTCGGAGGCAGCTGGGGCCGACATGGAGTGTATGAAGCCTGGAAGTCGAGCAGGCGAAAAAACATGGGCGATTTCGGGACCTCCTGGTAGCCTCTTGGAGTGGGGAGCTTGAAATGTGGGTTGGTTTCCCCCCTCTTCGGCCTCTCTTGTGGTGTTCCTGGGGCTCTCTTGGGCGTTCTCGGTCGGAGAAGGGGGAGGGGGGGGGGTCACGATTCGCAGGACGCTTCCAGGGACCCCGCGGGATCTTCTCCTCCCTCTCACCCTCCCCCGGGACCTCCCCTCTCTCGTGGGGAAGGGATTACAGGAACGGGGTCCCCTTCGAGTCGATTACGCTGTTCTTCGATTCTCCTCTGGCTGGAGCGTTTGAGGAGGTGGACCGAGGGAAGAGGGGGGTGTGGTTCTGGGAGGCTCATGCAGGTTTCAGGGTGGTGCGGGGGAAAAAACAACGGAGAGCGAGGGGGAAACAGAGAAGGAGGAGAATGAGGAGGAGGAGGAGGAGGAGGAGGAGGAGGCAGAGGAGGAAGAGGAGGATCGAGGATCGGGGTTCGAGTCGATGTTTCATTTTTCATGGTCTTTTTTTGGGGGGCTCTCTGGAAGCCTCCGAGGATTTCTGGGGACGTCCTGGAGGCGTCTTGGGCCGTCTTGGGGCCCTCTTGGGCTGTTAGGGGACGCTTTTGGGCACCTCTTGGGGTGTCTCGGGGCGATATTGGGGGCCTCCTGGGCCGTCTTGGCGCGTTGGCAAACGTCAGAGGCAAGAGCGCTAGAATCCTGCAAAAACGTATGGATGTTTTTGCCTCTTGGGGCTCTCTTGAGAAAGCTCCTGGATGCCTCTTGGGGCGTCTTGCAGGCCTCTTGGGCCGTCTGGAAGCCGTGAAGGCGTCCTGGACAGATCGTCAGGCGAGTCGTGGTTCTCGTGGACTGTCTGTGGGGCATGTTGAGCTCCTGGAATCCCCGGGAGCGCGTCGTATCTGACCCCCCCCCGGGACCCCCCCCAGGACCCCCCCCCCTACCCCCCCCCTTGCGGGGAAGGGATCGAAGGGAAGGGGCTTCCCTTCGACTTCATTACGGCGTTCCTCAACGCCTGGGAAAGGAGGGGAAGAGGACGACAGCCACGACGACAAACGAATGACGGGGATGACGACTCGACACGCCGACAGGGTCGGCGGATTTTGACTTAATTACCCATTTTCATGAAATCTCAAACTAGATCTCGAATTTGCGAAATGAAACGTCCTCCACCCCTATAGCTGCTGCAAGCTACTGAGGCGACTGCGCGCGGCGCTTCGGCAAAGCGAGAACCCCATTTTAAAAAGGAGCCTTCCTCCAGTCTTACAGCTGTCGCCGACTTGTAAGTCTTGAGAGGCGCTAAGACGGAGCCCCATTTTGAAAATGAACCGCCCCCCATCCTTGCAATTGCTGCGAGAGTTTAAGACGAGCGCACACGTCAAGGCGAGAGCCACATTTGGAAATCGACCTGCACCCCATCCTTATAACTTATAGCAGCTGCAAGCATTTAAGACGAATGCGCGCGGTGCCAAGGCGAGAACCCCTTGCGAAGGTCAAGCTTCAGGGCCATTAGTGGTGAGGAAGTCTCAGGCAGAACTCTCCCCGCCCGCCCTACCACCGACAAGTCAAGTGGTGCGACAGGGAGGTCGGAGGTTGGGGGATGAGATCACAGTGGAACGGATCGCCCCCCACTGGGAAATCTGTTTCGGGTTCGTGTTCGTGCCGTGCGTGCGGGCGGCGCGAAGCTGGGCGCGAGAGGAAGAAGCGATCCCGCCATCGCCAGGGCGGTTCGGATGCAAAAGTCCAGCCCTGCGGTGGGCGCGCGGTGGCTGAGGGTGTCCCGCCGTGGTGTCTCGCGGTGTCCCGATTGTGTCTCGCGGTGTCTCGCCGTTGGCGTGCGAGAGGAATGATCCCGCCGTCGCTAGGCGATTCGGATGCAAAAGTCCGGCCCTCCTGTGGGCGCGCGGTGGCTAGGCGATTCGGATGAAAAGTCCGGCCCTCCTGTGGGCTCCGCGCGCGCGTGATGCGTTCCTCGCATGGCCAGTGGGGCCTCCCCCCCTCCAGGGGCAGACTCACTGCGCCACGTCCGCCCTCCCTTCCTCGGAGGTTGCCCTGAGCCTCCCCCGGGCCCTATCATCCAACAGCCCCGCGAAACTCCACGATGACTCTGTCGCCGCCGCCGTCGCCGACGCCGCCGTCGCCGTTGCCACCGCCGCTGCCGCCGACGCAGGCCGAGATCCCGCCGGTGGGCGTGTTGCACTGCTTCCACACCGAGAGCCACGGCTTCGGCGCGCCGCCGCGCGGCGCAGCGCTCGACCTGGACGTTTTGGTCGTCGTCGTCGTCGTCGTCGTTTTGGGAAGTTTTCGGCTGTTTCCGTGGATCGTAGGGGGCCTTCTCGCCTCGGGGTGCCTTCCAGGTGTAGAAGCGCTCCTGGCCTCGGCCAGGAGGGTGTACACACCACGGCACGAAAGGGTGGCCTTGGCAGGGTGCGATGTGTGGTGTAAGGGTGCCTTCGCTTATCCGTGCTCCCTGTGGGGGAGGGACGGGGGTGAGGTGGCTCAGGGCGACGCTTTGGGATTTTCCCGAGTGCTTGTGAGCGAAGCGAAGACATACGCGGACATGAACTCGCATAGGCGCTCCGATAATTTGTTATATGCATATCTATATATACACATATAGAGAGAGAGGGAGAGGGAGAGAGATGTACGAAAGAGCGCGCTCGGGAAACACTTCTCATTAAAAGGGGGCTCCAGCTTCAAGCCCCCCTCTTCCTTGGAAAAGGGGGGTCCGAAGCTTACCCCCCCTTCCTTCCTTTCGTTGGCACTTTTGGTTAGGGGGGCCCTAGCTGCATGGGGGGGCTTGGAAGCCCCTCCCCCTCCCCCTTTCTTGGAGATGAAGGTGCGCCCGAGTTCTCCTTTCAAAGGGGGGGAGCTTCGGAAGCTACCCCCCCTTCCTTCCGCAGTTGAGATTGGTTTGCCAGCTACCCCCCCCCCCCTCCCTCCACTTCCGGGGCCCAATGTCGGCTCGGGCTCCCTTTTCAAAGGCGGCTGGGCTTCGGAAGTTACCCCCCACGTTCGCAGCTGACATTGCCTTGCCAAGGGAGAGCGGGCTTCAAAACCACTCGCCCTCTTGTTTTTTTGGAGACCAAGGTCAGCCCAGGCTTCCCTTTCAAAGGGGGAGGGGCTTTGGAAGCCCTCCCCTCTCGCAGCTGGGGGGGGTTGAAGGTACGCCTTCCTTATGGTTTTTCCCGGGTCCGAAGTTTCGCGCGGGGGCGTTTCGGAAACTACTTGTCGCCCCGTCCCACTCCTAATGGGGGGCCTGGCGCGCGCGCGGAGCAAGTGTTTTCACTCGTTTCGAGCCACGACGGGGCCGCGAACGAGAAGCCCAACTTGCTGGTGGCGAATTCTCTGGTACGTGAAAATACGTCTGCGGAGGGGGAGAGCAACATGCCACTGGCGCGTGCGCGCGGGGCCCGTGTTTTAACGTGTCCACGGGGCCCCAGGTGGGTCCAATGTGGGGTGGCGAATTCTCTGCGTATAAAAGTACTTGCGCGGAGGGGGGGAGGGGGGGGGGGGCAGCGGCGGGGGGAGCCCAGCATGCGCTTGGCGCGCGCGGCGCATGTTTTCACGTGTTTTGGGCCGCGACGGGGCCGCAGACGAACGGCCCAATTTGCAGGCGCCAACCTTTGGAAGAAAAAAACGCGCGTGGAAAGGGTGGCTGCCCTTGCGTCCCGGGCCGCCCGTTGTCGTCGTCGCCCTAGTCGCTCCTCGTCGGCATGGTCGCCAGCGGATAGGGCTGATGATGATGATGATGAGGAGGAGGAGGAGGAGGAGGAGGAGGAGGAGGAGGAGGAGGGCGAGGACGAGGAGGAGGAGGAGGGCGAGGACGAGGAGGAGGAGGAGGAGGAAGAGGAGGAGGAGGACGAGGAGGAGGAGGACGAGGAGGAGGAGGACGGGGAAGAACAGTAAGAACAGGGAGGGCGACGACGCAGAACCATGTGTCTTCTTGTCGCGTCCCCGCGCGTCTCGGCTTTCTGTAGTGCGTCGGCCCAAACCCTCGCGCGTTTTTCCCTTGGCGGGCGCTTTGCGCAGGCGCTCGCCCAGGCAACCGTCGAGGGGGCGGGCGAGGTGGCCTTCCGAAGCTTACGAGCCGCGCTCTACGAGCGATTCGCAGGTCAATCTCTCCCGTCGCTCGCGGGCCTCGGCGCCCTCTCCGCGGGGGCGCCGTGGTCCGTTCAGGTCGACTCGAGCGGCGGAGGGCACTGCTCACCCCTGTGCCGCTCCCGACGGCAGTGGCCCTGTTTCGGGGCCACGGCCGTCTGCAGCCTCAGCGGGGGCTGCTGCGTCGGGGCCTGCACGGCCCGCCTATGGGGGCCGACGACCTGCCCCCGCGCGCGGGCCGCGATCGGAGACCCTGACGGGCACGCTCGCGGCGCGCAGCGCACCCTGGCCCAGGGGCGCGGGTTGAGGAGCGCGCGCGGGCCCTCTCGCGAGGCTCGCCCGCTGCCCCCCCTCTCCCCCCCCACGCGGTCAGTCCCTGCGGGTGGCGCGCGGGCCACTCGCGCGCCGCCAACAGTGGCAGCCGATGCTTCTGCAGCGGGGGGATTCGCCATCCAATCCACGATGGGCCTGTCTGGCCACACCTTCGCCCGTTCATTCCGCCGTTGGCCACTCGGTGCGACCGTTGGCGGTTGGACGAGGGCGAGGCGAGCTACGCCGCGATGCTTCCGGCCGCTCGAATTGGGGGTTGCTCGTCGGCGCTGCCTGGAGATCCTTCCGCTCGGCCGACAGTCTCAGTCTGGCAGAGGCGGAAGGATGCGCGGGGCTGGCTGGCCCCTTCCAGGTGGTCGCGGGCCCGCGATTTCCTGGAGGCCGCGCGGTTCCTCGAGGGGCTGGACGCACCGCCAGCGGGGGCGACCCCTTCTCCGCGCGGAGAGGAGTGATCAGCTGCCTCCCCCCCGTCTGTGGACCCCCGCTGGCACTCGGAGCAGGGCGATTGCGAGCAGGAGATGGCCTTCTTTTCGATCGCGCCTGGATGCCGAACGGACGGCGGGGCGCGCGAAGGCCCCGTCGGCGCCCGCGCAGCCGGGGACTTCAGCCACGCGCGGAAGGGGGTGGGGAGAGGGGGGGCGACTTAGAAACACCCATGTTTCTTAGAAGGCGCGGGCCTTATCTATAGATGCAATGCCGGCGCCTTCTAAGAAGCAACCCCTTTTCTAATAAGCCCCCCCGCGCGCCCCTTATGCGCGCCGCCAGACTTCGCCCCAGGCGAAGACATAGAGGGCCGAGGCCCCCTCAAAAGCCACCCCAAGAAGGCCAGCGGAGCCCGACGGGGGGCGCGCGCACTCTGCGCGCGGTTGCCGAGGGCAGGAGTCGCGACGAGTCGATCAAGTCAACGACGTCGCGGCTGCTAAGCGTGCCTGGGCTGAGCGCGGTCGCGACCGTAGGAACGCGTTGCTTCGGCGATGCTGTTGCGGCCCCGCAGGGAGATGTGCGTTGCGCGGTCGTCGCCTGCGTTCCGCGTCGGGCCCCCGTCAGGCTCCGTCGGGGCCCTCGGGCCCGCCTTGCCCCAGCGGCTCCGGCGCCCAGTGCTTCGGAAACCGCGCGTGCCGCTGCCCAGGTGGCGCTGTTTCTCGCTGGCCTCTGCGCCTTGCTGCGCCTGTCCCCAGGCGCGAGCGCCCATGTCGCCCGCTGGGCCGCGGCGAGGGCCCAGGTTGCGCAGGGTGCTCGATGTTCTCTGGCGTCTTTCTCCCGCACTGCTCTCCGCGCGCCGGTTCGGGGCGCTCGTGCTTCTAACTTCTGAAGAGTCTTTCCCCCCGCGGCCCCTGGCCGCGCCCTCCAGCCCCCGCTCTCGAGCCTCTCCCGTCGCTGGCGCCAGGCGCAGGGGCGTCGGCGGCTGAAGCGCGCCGCGCGCGCGCCGGCGCAGCGCGCCGCGGCGGCGCTCAACTGGCTGGCCCGGGGGAAGGAAACCTAGCCTCGCGCCCCCCGAGGCTCGCGCGCGCGCAGCGGCTTCGCCCTACCATAGGGGGGCGCGAAGTCGCGTCGAGCGTCTCTGCCCGATCGCAGTTCGTCTTGCCCGCGGCGGCGAGAGCGACTTAGGGCGGGCGCTCGCGAAGTTCGACTCCGCCGAGGTCTCGCCCCGTGGCTGGGCCGCCCATCATGCAGCTGTGGAGGCCAAGTTCCCCCCCCCGTCCTTCGCGCCTGCCCCGGCGGGGCAGTGCCCGAGCAGCACTCTGGCTGCTGGTTCGTCGGCATCTGCGACGGCCAGGTGCACCGCCCACGCGCGCGTGAAATTGGAGCATTCGCCGACGCTCAATCCCCCCACGTACCTTTCCGACGCCAGGGTCCGCGATGCACCCCCGGGCACGGAGGCCGCGCGCCCCCCGCGAGAAAAGTGGCCAGCGGGGCTTCGGGGCGCTCGAGTCCACGTGGATCGGGCTGAGCTGCGGCAGCTTCTGTGGAAGTGGGATTCCTGCGGCGCTCTGATTTTGACCCCCTCCTCTGACCCTTGCCGGGCCGGCGCGCGGAGCATTCAGAGCCCCCATAGCCGACGACGATTATCGCCTGAGTCTCAATCCCACGGCGGTGGGCAGCTGCAGCCAGCGCATGTCCACCAGCGCTCGGCGTCCTGGACAGGGCTTTCTGCTGTGCCGCGCGAGCTTTGCCCCATGGAGAGCGGCCGGTGGTTTCGCGCGATGACTTGCGCGAGTTCTGCTATGCCATTAAGGAGCGACTATCGCGGGCCAGGCGTGGCGCGCTGCAAACCCGGCCGCGCGCGAGGCGCTCGACGTCGTTCAAGGCGCGGCGATCCGAGCAGGAACGGCTCGACGCGCCTCCGCGCCTGAACGCGCTCGTAACGGGCGACAAGATGGCAGTTGAGATTGCCAATTCTGCGCGCGAGGGTGCGCCGCGCACCTTCGGTGCTATTCTCCCCGAGGAGCAAGCTGCGCCCCGCTCGCCGTTCCCGCGCGGCCCCCGCGTCGACGCGCTGAATATCAACGACCGCGTGGGGCGTCGAAAGCTCCCTTGGAACGGCCCGGCCCCGTGGCCCGATGGCCCGACGCGCATAGGGCCTGGCGACGTTCGCCGACCGCGGCCGCGGGCGCCCGAGCGGCCGCCTCGCCCGGCGCCCAGGCGAGCGCGCCCGCGCTGCGACCCACAAGGTAGTGCCTCCGCAAAAAAGAGCCGAGGGGGGCGGGGAGAATGCGCCGGGCATGGCGAACGTAAGGAAAATAAGCATGGAGAAAGGAAAACGAATAACATTATTATAGCGGCGATGCCAGAAAAGGCGACGAGGAGTCATCGCGAAACTGTCGGCTTTACCCCCTTGTTATTCCGCCTGCGCGCCAAACTTCAAGGGCCAAGGTGCATGGCGCGAAGTGCCGCTGCAGTCTTGTATATGCACAAATCACATATATATATATATATATATGTGTGTGTATATATATATATATATATATATATCGGCAAATATCAGTAAGTACGGCTGGAAGGGTCTACGCTCAAAGCTCGAATGCGCCGACGCCTGTCTCTAATTTCCGCAGCGCTAGCTCACTTTGTTTTTTTTGTCGGGCGACGCGCGTGCTCGGGGCCGCTGTAGGTCTCGCCCTGTATATTCTGAAGCGCATTGCGCTGGCGAAGCCAGCCGCGTTTCAGATACGAAAAAGGGTCATTTCGCCTCCCGCAATCTTGATTACACATGCGCGCAGGTTCTTGCTTGCAAATGTCTCGGCACGCTGATCGGCCATGCCGCGCGCGAGTGCTACTGGAGCAAGCCCGCGGCGAAGTTTGCCCTCAGGGTGAGAGCAGGCAGGCTTCACTTTTGCCAAGCGTACCCTGACCTTCTCACGCCCTCTGCATCAACGCCCCCTCGTTTGTCACGCAATTCGCGCCCCTCTCGCTCGGGGGAAGCCGCGCGTAAGGATGCGATGCAGTTGTTGGCAGTTGGTCCGGCGACCAGCTTTAACTTCGAGACGCTGACCTCCACGTGCTTTCCCGAGCAGCGCAACGGTCTGGAGGCTGCGTGTCGGGCCACGATGTCGCGGCTTGTCTGGAAATGTCCAGAAATCTGGGGCATTCTGGAGGTTATAGAGAGATCCCTCAAGAGTGAGGGTGCGTGCATTTTGCGCGCGATGTCTGGCTTGGCAACTACTAGCTCTGTTCATGCCAGTCCCTCCGCGTCCGCGGGGCCCAGCTGCCGTCGGCCGCGGTCTTGCTGCCTCGCCTAAGTTCGCTCGCGACGCCGCCATCGATCTCGCGACGCGGATGAGGAGGTGGATGAGGGAGGCGCCCGAGCACGCGCAGTCGTTCATGCGCCGAAAGCGGCGGACCTTGTCGCGCGAAAGACTGGCCCGCATCTTGGCTCGACGTTCCAGCCAGCGCCCATTCTCAATCCCACGTTTGTCTCTCTGGCCGCTGCTCTGATACTTATGCCCCTGATCTCTCCGACCTCGATGATCTGGCCCATTTCCCTAGATGTTCTCGGTGTCATTGGACGTGCGAGCGATGGCTTGGATGACTGATGCCTCCCTGCTGCGCCCCCATCCCTGTTTTGTCACTGCTCCCGACCGTTGAGGGGCCTCGCGTGGCGCTGCTAATTGCTGCTGCCCTGTTGGGCGCATTTCTGATTGCTCACAATTCTTGCCGCCGCCAGCTCTCCGGGCAGCGCACCTCAGCAGATGCGCGCCCGAATCCGTGCCACCACTCGCCGTCGCAGGTCTATGGCCGAGGCTTGGAGGATCGAGAAACGGGCGCGGGTTTTGTTTGAAGTTTCGAATGGCGGACGTTCCATGCGCGCGATGTGCCATGCATTGGATGGGGCATTGGGGGCATGGATTGCTCGGATGATGCTGGCATGCGCGGCCGCGAACTGTTCCGGGGTGAACCTCAGACCGCGTTCTGAAACAAACTTAACAGGCCGGCGAGAACAGGGGGAAAACATACATGGGAAGGAAACCGAGCAGGGGCGACCTGTCCTCAACAAAGCAGAACGAGTCAGGCCTCTCGAGGCCAAGTGCAGCCACCGCGGCCTAGGATGGGCTCGCGCGCAGAATTAGAATCTCAGAAGTCTGCTCTACATGAGGAGCTTGGAATCCAAGAGCGCAGAATTGCTCGAATTATGCCGCCACCCAGTTGGAGTAGCGGAGCACAGATGAAAACGGCGCAAATTAGACCACCGCGCAAACAGCGGAGGAAGCAGGCCGTCTCCTTTTCTGTCCCGCGGCTTTTGAACCGCCAGCACATTCACCGCGGCCAAATGTCGGTTACCATACCGAAGCGCCAGTGGAATCAGCCCGAGCTTGTGAAGTATCTGGGGCTGGTCAGATGACGCTGCGTGAAATTTCTCCAGTGCGTGAGCCCTCGCGTCGCGTGCTGAATCATCTCGCCTCGTGCCCGACATCGAAGACAGACCTGCGCCAACGGCGCGCCGATCAAACGTTGCGCGCCCAGACGGCGAGGGTGAGTCAGCGCCCAGACGTGCAGCTGGTGCCAGAGCGGACCCTGCAGCAGAAACGCCCCCGAGGTCTGCGCGCAGGCCGACTGCGCTCGCTGGGTGCGGCATGGCTCCATCGCGAGGCTGATGGCCATCAGGGAGATGAGGAGGGACCGAGTCATCATGCGCCGCCTGCTCGGCGCCCGGCGCCCCCCTTTCAAATGTAAGCGTTGGGCTTTGTGAATAGCTCGAAGCTTTCCAAGAATTGAACAGGGCCATCGGGGACTTCAGCTTCGCCCTGTGCATCCTGGGCTTGCTTTTTGCGCAGAGTCGCTGGCGCAGAGGGCCGCCCAGCTGCAGACGTCGCAGCGCCCGCAACCGCAGCAGCCACAGAAGCAACAGTGCGCCTCGGCGCGTGATCCCGAATCGCCGCCTGCACAGCGGCCGCCACAACGGAGGGGCCGTCAGCAGCAACGGTGCTAATTCACGAATGCGTAAAATTATAATAATCAGGGGCTACCTGATCCCAAAGAAACCAAGAGTGGCTCGATGAACTCGCCCAGCACTGCAACACATCAGGGCCACATACGGCACCTCTGACACTACGTGTCACACGACCAGAACGCTCTTACCACAGTACCATATTTGTAGATAGCATGGCGAGCGCCAGATTGCAGAACACGACGCCAGGGCACGCCGGTAGCTCCCTCCGCGTCAGTTGATGACGAAGCGCAAGGAGAAGCCGAAGAAAGTGACGATGGTGTTGACATAAGAGTTGCGCCAGAAGTTGTTACATGAGCCCGCTGGCACATGCAGTATTGAGCACGCCGCAAACCGCCAATGCAATAACAATCCAAAGTGTAAGCGAAACTGCAATCGGAAAGTTCCGGGGCTGCCTGCTCTGGGCGCGGAAGATAAGCTCGAAGAGTCTCTGGCCCACCGGGTCGAATCCAGCAGCCCGCAGTACATGCCATTCGCATTCGCATTGCCATTGGCGAGATGGTCCGCTCTCTCGTTCAAGAATCTGCCCGCGCGGGATCCCACCTTGCGCCATTCGACGAAAAAGGGACGTAGAGAGAGAAGCCTCTCACATCAGAGTCGCATTGGCAAAATGGGGTGAAACGACTGCGACCGGCGATGCGAAGCCTGCAGCGTCGCTGGCTCCATGCATAGGGAAATTGCGCAAACCTCGCTATGCATGCCCCACTCGCCAAAATTTCCTGCAAGGGACCTCGCTGCATGTATTGCGCACGTGCCACAGTCACCGCGAGTGCCCTCGCCCGCGGAGGAGGCGGAGGATCAGAGGCGGGGCGAAATCGAGGCAGGGGCGGCCACCCAGGGGCAAGATAGGGGAGGGGGGAGACGGCGGCGGTCATGTCGTCGGGTTTCGTAGCCTTGGTCGTGGTCGTCGAAGTGGCGCGTCGCAGTGCCCCCTTGGCCCGGCGCAAACATCGCCGTCAATGCGGCCCTGCCCGCCGCTGTTGCCAGGGCCGTTGCTGTGGTGGTGGCGGTCGGCCTGGATGGTGCCGCCGTCTTGGTATCGCCGCCGCCAGGGGGACGGATAGGAAAAGGTACTTGTGGTCGCCAGGGATCCAGGCGCCTTGAACGCTTTGAGCGTAAACGCCCGTAGCCTTCACCATGAACATGGTGTGAATGGATCAGTATACAAACACTTTTGGTCACACATGTATGTATGTATCAGCTCTAAGCACGATCGGGCATGCGCATTAATCCGCAGCAGTGCTAGTTTCATTGTATCAGAAAATTCTAGCGGGCGAGTCTCGGCGGTCGAAAGGTCCCCTGGCCACTTCAAGTCTCAGCAAGCAAACGCTTGTGGGCGCACGATACGCTCCAAAATCCAGTTTAGGTCCGCCTCTCAGCATTGCTCCTCATCAGTATATACTCCTACTCTGCCCCGCAGCTGGCCGATAGCCGCCACATCCAGGACCCTCCTTCCTACGTGCGCAAAACAATGCAAGTTCGACTTCTGCGTCAGCATGAACAGTCTGTCGCCCAGTCTGTCGGGGTGCGCATCGCGCGCGAAAGACCGAAATGTCGTTTTTTGCCTCGGGGCCGCGTTCATTTGTTCGAGAATTGAGCTCCCGCCTCGGCGCGGCGCACGTGTTCCACAGGCAATGTCGTCGACGCGCGAGCGGACGTTGATATCATTCTCGCCTCGGCGCCGCGCAGATTTCGCCTGATAGTGGCGCTCCCACACCAGCGCGGCGCATATCTGTCACTCGCCAGTTTGGGGGGGGGCCGCGCGAGTGGACGACTTGTCGCCTTCGACCGAGCTCCGCACGCATTTCGCTCGGAAGTGGTGTTCCCGCCCGGGCGCGGCGCATGGTTCGTTCGCCGAATCGCCGCGCAGCTTATGAATGAAGGTGGCAGTGCTGTGTCAGCGCGGCGGCGCATGCTTCGTCCTGCACCGCGCCCATCTGGAGTTTTGCCGTTCCCGCCCCTGCGCGGCCCGCGTAGGTTTCCCTTCGCCAAGTCGTCGGAAGCGGGGCCGCGCGCGAGCGCCTTCCGTTGGCGAGTTGGCAACCCGCTCCGGGGGGGCTTCTGACTCGCTCGCCCTGGCTGGTTCGACCCCAACTCGCACCCCCACTCTCTCCTTCCTAATTACTGCTGTCCCTTCCCCTGCTGCTGTTGCTGCTGTTTCCCCTCCTCCTCCTCCTCC